CTCTCTCTCTCTCTCTCTCTCTCTCTCTCTCTCTCTCTCTCTCACAGATATGATGATCTCTGTCTCTCTCTGTCTCTCTCTCTCTCTCTCTCTCACACAGATATGATGATCTCTGTCTCTCTCTCTCTCTCTCTCACAGATATGATGATCTCTCTGTTTCTCTCACAGATATGATGATCTCTCTCTCACTGTCTCTCTCACAGATACGATGATCTCTCTCTCTCTCTCACAGATATGATGATCTCTCTCTCTCTCTCTCACAGATATATCTCTCTGTCTCTCTCACAGATATGATGATCTCTCTGTCTCTCACAGATATGATCTCTCTCTCTCTCACAGATATGATGATCTCTCTCTCTCTCACAGATATGATATCTCTCTCTCTCTCACAGATATGATGATCTCTCTCTCTCTCTCACAGATATGATCTCTCTCTCTCTCACACAGATACGATGATCTCTCTCTGTCTCTCTCACAGATACGATCTCTCTCTATCTCTCTCACAGATACGATCTCTCTCTCTCTCACAGATACGATGATCTCTCTCTCTCTCTCTCTCTCTGTCTCTCTCACAGATATATCTGTCTCTCTCTCTCACAGATACGCTGTGCTGTGCCTATCTTCCTGAATCCGGAGAACGCGGCGTGTAGCATCGGCGTGCAGCACCTGTGGGTGTGTTCCTCTACGGCCGACCGCGGTCAAGTGGCCATCCTGTCTATTCACAACTCAAAGCCCGCACTCACCGAATCTTTCAGGTACCAACGTGACATGTACTCATGGTCAAACGTGTCGTCTACTCATGGTCAAACGTGTCGTGTACTCATGGTCAAACGTGTCATGTACTCATAGTCAAACGTGTCATGTACTCAAACGTGTCATGTGTGGTGTACTTATGGTCAAACGTGTCATGTACTTATGTGTACTCATGGTCAAACGTGTCGTGTACTCATGGTCAAACATGTCGTGTACTCATGGTCAAACGTGTCATGTACTCATGGTCAAACGTGACATGTACTCATGGTCAAACGTGTCATCTACTCATGGTCAAACGTGACATGTACTCATGGTCAAACGTGTCATGTACTCATGGTCAAACGTGTCGTGTACTCATGGTCAAACGTGACATGTACTCATGGTAAAACGTGTCATGTACTCATGGTCAAAGGTCATGTACTCATGGTCAAACGTGTCATGTACTCATGGTCAAACGTGTCGTGTACTCATGGTCAAAGGTCATGTACTCATGGTCAAACGTGTCATGTACTCATGGTCAAACATGTCGTGTACTCCTGGTCAAACGTGTCATGTACTCATGGTCAAAGGTCATGTACTCATGGTCAAACCTGTCATGTACTCATGTTCAAACATGTCATGTGTGGTGTACTCATAGTCAAACCTGTCATGTACTCATGGTCAAACGTGTCATGTACTCATGGTCAAACGTGACATGTACTCATGGTCAAACGTGTCATGTACTCATGGTCAAACATGTCATGTACTCATGGTCAAACGTGTCGTGTACTCATGGTCAAACGTGTCGTGTACTCATGGTACAAACCTCAGTTTTGACGTAAAAATTAATATTTTGACCTGTCATTTACTTAAAATTTTTATAATAAATGAAAGTTTCCTCATAATATGTATCTGTGTACATGTTTTTAATGTTTATCAACTCTGGAAAGCCCTCAGAGTACATTATTTAGTTTGTTCATAACAATTACTACAAAAACAAAATACTGATTAAAAAACATACCCATACACTTATGATAAAAATCAAAATATCAGAATGTAAGCAAGGTCTAATACATCCTCAAGTTGGGTTAAAATTAAAAATACATCCCAAAACAACTGTAAATTACATGGAATAAGGTTTCATTCATAACCATTATGACACACTGTCACGTTCATAACATGATGACAATCCATTATGACAAGCATATTTTTGCCTCTTCTTCGCGTCTCTTTTGAGTCATCAGCACGCTGCTCTTCCGTGTTTAATCCACCATGTAAAAGGATGTTGTGAAACAGTGGGAAGTCCCTCACATGATATTTTGCAGAAATATCATAAAGTGTTTGTTCTTAACATCATTATGACAAACCTGGATTATCTCAATCAAAGTCATATTCAAGCAAAACCATTCGATGGAGCGGAAAATTACCCTTCTGATGGATCAATGTCATACCGGTCATTCCTCGGGATGATATGTTTAACGATTTGGGTTTTCTAGAACTTGGAAAGTCTGATGATGTAATTATGACACGAGTTATGAACGAACTTATAAATTTTACTCAGCAATAACATCATTAATATAAAAAAATAAAACCCTTTTAATGGACACATGCTGTTATGATGGTGTATACTAAATATTTTCAATGTTTGAATGCTCTACTGTTTGATAGTTTGAGATTAACAATATTCTGTATTTAACATACAATGACGTGTGTGCACTCAGGATGAGTAAAAAATGCCCTATTTTTAGTACTATTATTTTTCTATGTAGATATAAGATGCACACATCAATCCGCTCATGCAGCTTGACCAACTTATTTCCTTGCCATATGCATGAAGTTTTCAGAAGAAAACATATTTTACCATGAATAGTGGTTGATATAAAAAGTCCTCATGCAAACACCCCCACCTTTTGGCAAAGCTCATGTCTGTGTGTGTGTGTGTGTGTTTGTGTGTGTGTGTGTGTGTGTGTGTGTGTGTGTGTGTACTGGTATAGTGAGACTGAACTAACTGTTTCTTTCCCTCCCCCCCCTTCAGGGCGTGTGACTGTGACATCACAGCGGCCGAACTGGTCCCCGGATGTGGTCAGCTGACGCGGCCAGGAGACTACCTGTTTGCCGAGGACACCGTGTGGGTGGCCACTGCACGCTGCGAGTGAGTCATCCGGGGCAGACCACTCTTGTGTGGGTCTGTGCCGCCTTCTTGGCCTTCAGTAGATAAGTAAACTATGCTTCTGATACCTCCTATTTCTGTGGTTTGGAGAGTTGCTCCCCTTTGATCTTTCTCACGATTTGTCTCCCTCTCTCCCTGCCTCAAATGACGGGTGTTGTCAATATGTGCTTCTCTTTAGTCCAGACATTTTTCTGTTTAGTCGAATGGAATCTTTTCCATCCATCATATTTCAGACCATTTTGTTTGTTCAGAAGTCTGTCGTTTGTCATGCTGGTAAGTCACTCATGTTAGTTGAGAACTTTCCCCAAACCCCCGAGTGGGACAGCTGTGTTGTTTGACTATGTTCCCTGCCAATGTGTGTACAAGTTTCCCTTCTTTATACTCCGAGGGCCTTTGATCTTTTGTCATGTGGAAGGCAGTGTGGGGAAGTCGGGCGCACGTCAAAATTATGAAATTGAAAAAACTGGCATTTTTTCCCAGGTCTGAGAATTTTTATCAATTTTTGTTTTTTGGCTCTAAATCTTTCGTACCTTTCAAAAACACATTTCTGTGTGGTTTTTACTGAAAAACATTGAATAAGGCATAAAAGATGTAAATTTCCAGCTTCCACAGACTCTGAAGCTAAGGAAATAACGCAACTTTGGTGGCCATTTTCTTGCTAATTTCACCTCTGAAACTAGGCGACCCCCACCTCCTTCAATCGCCAATATCTTGACTTGTATCCGAGATAAATGGATATTTTGGCCATCCAAAGCAAGGCAAATGAACAAGCTTTAAGGTGATACCAATAACTCCATATGCCCCCAAATTGACGAGCGCTTGATTCCACTGCGTCGTGACACATATCCTAATGCTGTTTTGTCGTATCGTTTTGAACGAGACTTGGGAGGAGTGACACACACTTCTGTTTCTCTCTCCAGTTCAGGCTGCAGAAACTTTTCTCAAATCCCTCTTTCTCTCTTTCTGAGGGGAAAAAACCACCGTGGCACATACTGATTAATCCTCAAAAACAAAACTTAATTGGATACGTTGGATAGAATCGTTGCCAACAGCCAATGGGAAAGCTCCTTCATGTCACGCGACATTGCAGGGTCAGATCTTTTTTTGTGTGCCAAGAAAACATTTGGCCATCTTTCCGCCAGAGGTCTGTTTGGTTCTGTGTGCTCCACGCCACACGCCACGCCACGCCAGAGGTCTGTTTGGTTCTGTGTGCTCCACGCCACACGCCACGCCACGCCAGAGGTCTGTTTGGTTCTGTGTGCTGCACGCCCCACGCCACGCCAGAGGTCTGTTTGGTTCTGTGTGCTCCACGCCACACGCCACGC